TCATTTCCCATCAAACTTTGCTCTACCCAGTCTTGCCTCTTCCTTCCAGCACATTATGGGTATTCATTCTGCTGATACGTAGGCAAGATTTATCTGTGTCTCTGCAAGGTTACAATACATTACACAAGATAGCAGCTTTCCTGAGAAAACAGGTTTTAAGCCTAGAAAGGCATTAGTCCATGGGTCTCTCCAAAGTATTCAAATAATTCACTCAAAGTACGTTGTTCCTTGTCCTGCTGTGAGATGTACATATTATGGTGATCATGGAACACCAGACCTTTCAGGTAGATTTAAACACTAGTTTCTCTCAGAAAAGTCACACTGATGTGGGTAATGACTTGCCAAAGTAATTGGCTGGTCAATTCTGCTAATCCAGCTGGAGAGACAAACCCTTATCTTTCCATAAGATATAAGTATCTACTTCTCAGATCACCTGGCATTTCGAAAGATGAGAAGAAAGTGTGTACTTATAAGTCAAAATAATTCTTTAGCCAAAAAGGCTGGCAGCACCATCTTATTCTCCAACTGGAATGTGTCCTCATATTTCCCACTCTAATCCCTCAGTTATTCTACCATGACTCTTCTCAATAAAAAATATAGGCTGGGTGTGGTAGCTCATGCCTATAATCCCAGCACTTTCGGAGGCTAAGTCAGGAGGATCACTTAAGCCCCAGAGTTCAAGACTACAGTGAGCTATGATCCGACCACTGTTCTCCAGCCTGGACCCTGTCTCAAAAAGAACCAGAAAAAGTGGTGGTTCCCAGTATGTTCCCACTATCGCATTCTGCTTCAGAACTCTTAATACCAAAATGTAGGCAAAACAGATGATATATATATATATATGTATGTATATGTGCCCGTGTTTATGAAACATGTATCATTTTCTTAATATTGAATCTGACTAGGTAGATTTTTTTTCCTCAATTCAGTTGTAGAACTATATACCTTATTTGGAGATTTAAAAAAAAGCAGCAAAATAAGAAAAAGAAAAGTCACTGTACTTCTCTGCCATCTCTTTATAGTAGTCACTCAAAACTTCCTGTAAGCGATTGCTGTCAACTTGAATGGAACCTTCCAATTCAGCATTATCCAGAGCTCCAATTTCATCATCATCATACTGTTCATAAAACTTGAATATGAACAAAGATACAATGAAAAACAAATGTACTCATTAAGACCACAGCATTTAAATGTTTTTACATTAATTTTATTCCTATACAATATTTAAGCACTATAAGATCACAACTACCATTAAAATATTAGCAGGGATTTATCACCATAGCAATAGGACGTGGAAGACATTTCTATCCAGTACTTTAACATTTACATTTAGACTAAAAATAAGCTTCCATTTAACATGGAAATGAAAGGCAGTTATTCTAATTAGCTCAGAGAACAAAATTCTAGGCAAATATCTTTACCTCAGAATGTTTTGAAGATACTTTCAAATTCCTTGGTTATACAAACTAAGAGATCTATGTAACTGAGTGGTCTCCTGCTAATGTATAAATTTCATTCTTGTTTAGATGATATTTTACTGCATTATTCAAATGTTGTTAACACTGTTAGGCTTTGTCAAAGAGTAAGGAGCAGGTGACATATCTCCTCCTGAAGAGTGAGATTATTTGTAGTTAACAGTTTGCCTCTCTTGAGAGAAGAAGGAAACTAGTATTTAGTGAGCAGGTAGCAAAGTCAGAACCTTTATCTTAGATTTATTTTGAAGGAACCATTCCTTCATTTGTTCATCATTTATTAAACAGTTTGCATTCTTACTATTAATATATGCCAGACATCACTTTAGGGCTCGGAATGTTCAAAACCTCTGCCCTTGGAGAATTCACATTCTATTCAGAGACAAACCTATACACAACATAATAAAGCAGCACATTAGAGACGATGCCAAGAGGTGTTGAGTGCTGCAGAAAAATAGGATAGGTGGGATAGAGAACCTGCATAGACAGGCTA